AATAAGGATGTGAAAGCAGCCCTGAGGCATGTATTTCTTAAGAGATGTCTCAGCTTGGAAGTAAACGAAAACATCTAAGTGTTTGCTGAATAGTGTCTGATTCAGTTTAATTCGAGTCTATGACTTATTTCACAGGACACAGTTTATCTATAACTTCTATGACATATTAGATTGAAATGTATGTTACATCAATATACTCTTTCCTTTTCCATTTGAAGATGCACATTTGTTTTATATTTCTCTGTTTTATAATGTAACATGTGATGAGGTATCTTCACAGATGTGTTAATTTTTATGCTGTGTAGGTTCTCTCTTAGCACCACTATTCCTCAATATTTTTTAGTTATCTAACTCTAAAGGGGCTCATAAACTCATTTGCTCTCCCCCATTCACTATCTTAGAATTGTATATCCATTCTAAATGGAGAAAATACACCCCAGATTTCTACCAAAAACTCAGGAATTCAAACTAATGAAAACTAAATTAAATTGAGCCTTTCATACAAAGTCTTGCGAGAATCCAAATTGTTTATTTTACACATTGTCTGGATTTTACATATTTCTTTTGTTGTTGTTTTTGTTTGTTTGTTTGTTTGTTTTTATTGGGTATTTTATTTACATTTGAGATGTGACCCCCTTTCCCCATTTCCCCACCCACCCAGGAACCCACTCTCCCACCCCTCTTCTTGCTTCCATGAGGCTGTGCCCCCATCCACCTCTCTACTCCCACCTCCTCACCCTTGAATTCCCCCACACTGGGGTATCCAGCCTTCATGGGACCAAGAACATATTTCTTATGTTTTCATTTTACCCCTTGAAAGGCACGAACCAAGATTATTTCTTATTAGGTGCTCACTATCCACTTTGGTTTTATAAAGTTGTCTTCATCTGCCAAAAGGCCAACTATATTGAAATATATTTATTCATTTTAAAAATGGGAAATTTGGTATAGGTATAATGTCTGTAAATTAGATAGATGTAACTTTCCATTAGAAAAGTATGTGGTTCTGCTTTTTCAGAGTAACATGTATAAACTCATTTACCCTTCTTTTTCTCTATGCTACAAAAATGCCAGGAAAATAAAATAGATGCATTTTATGTATAAAATCTAGTTACATTTTCCTTTTGTCCTGGTTTTAAATTGTTCTTAGTTTACATCTACCTGATTCATGGTTTTTCTTAACTGATGTAATCTTTCCTATTTTGAAAGAAGAAACAAGTAAGTTATGGATAAGGAGGTGAGAAATAAGGAAGGAAATATAGAGTTGTGTTGAGGAAAAAAACAGTTGTCCACAGGGGAATAATTAGTGGTTTTTAATCAAATTTCTGTCTATCAACATAGGTGGTTGAAAACTACTAGAAAATATAAAACATGCCCATTAAGTTTGAGCAATTCTGTTGGAACCTATTCAAAGCACTCGAAAGACAGTGCATTCCTGTGCCCAGGGTGCTATGATATGCTGTGTAGGGATCTCTAAAATGAGATACTCTAGCACACAGTCAGTTACTCATGCAAGAAATTAAGTAGACATTAATGTAACTCAGGACACCTTCGCTACTTTCAGACAGCCACAATTTATTTGAAATACAAAACATACTAATGTTAAAGAATCAAAAGTAACCCACAGTTTTATAGCCCCTTCTGTATTCAGTGTAGACCCTGAAAGTGGAGTAACCACCCATTTCACCAGGAGGTTATAGTTGCTTCTTAGGAACCACCAAAGTCACTTCTATCTAACACCCATCCTTTCCTTTCTGTGCTTGCCTTCTGGACAGAATGCCAAAGGGATATGTTTACAAGCTTGCCTCCTCTGTTCATTTTCTATTTTATTTTACAGTGTGTGTGTGTGTGTGTGTGTGTGTGTGTGTGTGAGAGAGAGAGAGAGAGAGAGAGAGAAAGAGAGCACAAACATGTCACAATAAGCCACAGTAATCAGAGGATGACTTAATTCTTTCCTTCCATTATGTGTTTCCAAGTTATTGATCATATGTCATCATCACATATGGAGTCATGTTGAATCCTTCCTGTTATGTTATCTTTCAAGTCATTTGTTATCGATGGTGGCATTATTCATCATTTGTTTGATGTGTTATCTCAAAAATTACTTGACCAGAATGGTATTTTACTTTGCACATTAAATATGATCTTTTTTGAATTCAAGATTATTTTGTGATTAATTCAATAACATATTATGCCTACACATGTTGGTCTGAATATTGACACCTGATGTTCCACCGATGTTATTTGCTCATCTCACTGAGCTCAAAGTGGTAGGACCTGATAGAGGTATACAGTTTGGGTGTCTGCTTCTATCAGCTGCTCTTGGAGTCCTCTTTGATGACAACCGGCTCTAGGCACTAATCTATGAGTACAGCAGAATATGATTAGGAATCATTTAATTGACATTTTCCCTTTACATTCGGTTTATCTGAAGTTTGTAAGCTATTTATAGTTCCCTTTTCCTAGTCATCCAGTCAGTGTGGACATGGGTTCCCATTAGTGGCATGGGCCTTGTGTAAGACCTAATGGTTATTACCACAAGTTCTAAGCCACCATTACCATAGCACATCTTGCAGGCATAATAGGAAGGTGAGTGAAAAGTTTTGTGTCTAGGTTAGTGTCCTAGTTCTTCCTTCCTTCCTTCCTTCCTTCCTTCCTTCCTTCCTTCCTTCCTTTCTTCTTTCCTTCCTTCCTTTCTTTTTTCTTTCTTTATTTCTTTCTTTTAACTTATTCTATCATATATTACATCCTGACTGCAGTTTCCCCTCCCTTCACAATCCCCCCAAGCTCCTCTACACCCCCACCTACTCTCTCCCCATCCAGTCCTCCTCAGTTTCCCTTCATAAAACAGCAGGTCTACCAAGGATATCAAACAAATATAGCATATAAAATTGCAATACTATTTCCACCTCCCCTCATATAAGGTTGGATGGTACAATCCCGTAGGATGACAAGGGTCCTAAAAGAAGGCATAAACATCAGAATCAGCTGCCAACCCTCTGTCAAGAGTCATATAAAAACATTAAGCTACACAAGTATACCATAGTTACAGAGGGCTTAGGTTAAACTCATATAGGTTCCCTGATTATTGGATCAGGTTCAGTGAGCCCCTACATTCCAGATTTGCTGATTCTGTGGGTTTCTTTGTGGTGTCCTGAACCCCTCTGGTTCCTGCAATCTTTCTTTCCCCTCTCAGCATGATTGCCCAAACTCCATATGTTAGGTGTGGGTCTCTGCATCTGTTTCCATCAGTTGCTGGATGAAGTCTCTCTGAAGACAATCGGACTAGGCACCAATCTATGAGTATAGTAGAATACCATTAGGCATCATTCCACTGACACTTTTTTTGCCACTTGTGTTTGTTTCTATTCTAGGTCTCTAGGTCATTTGGTCTCTGGTTTCTTGTGCAGTGTCATGGGTGGGCTCACTCTCATGGCATAGGTCTCAAGCTGGACCAATCATTGGTTAGGCACAGACTTTCTGTGCTACATTATCACAGCACATCCTGCTGGCAGGACAACTTGTAGGTCAAAGTGTTATAGCTGTGTTGGTGTCTCAACCCTTCACTAGAAGTTTTGCCTGGTCATAAGAGATAACCTGTTCAGTCTCTGTATCCTCTACTACCAAGAGTCTTAATTAAGTTCACCCTAATAAATTACTAGGAATTTTCATTGCAGTAGGACTCTACCTTGACATTGCCCCTGAGTTGTAGCCCAGTTCTAGTTGTACTTCCCAGTACTTTCTCTATCCATCCTCTACCTACCTTTTCCTGTTCCCATCCCTACCTGCCCCTAGACCATACACCCATGCACTATATCACTATATACATATAGATAAGAGAGAGAGAGAGAGAGAGAGAGAGAGAGAGATATGCATCAATCCTTCTTTGAGCTTTCCTTGTTACTTAACTTCTCTGGGTCTGTAGATTGTGGCTATCCTCTACACTGCAGTTAATGTCCACTTATAAGTGAGTACATACTACGTTTGTCTTTCTTGGCCTGGGTACTTCACTCAAATTAATATTTTCTAGTTCCAACCATTTGCCTGAAATTTTCATGATGTCATTTTTTTTCTTTTATTGGACATTTTATTTATTTACATTTCCAATGTTATCCCCTTTCCTGGTTTCCCCTCCAGAAACTTCTATACCATCCCCCATCTCCCTGCTTATATGGGGGTGCTTCTCCACCCACCCACCCACTCCTACCTTCCCACCCTGGCATTTTCCTACACTAGTGCATTGAGTGTTCACAAGACCAAGGGTCTCTCCTCCCATTGATGTCCAACAAGGCCATCCTCTGCTACGTATGTGGCTAGAGCCATGGGTCCCTCCATGTTGACTTTTTGTTTGATTGCTTAGTCCCTGGGAGCTCTGAGGGGTCTGGTTGCTTGATATTGTTCTTCCTATAGAGTTACAAAACCCTTCAGCTCCTTCAGTCCTTTCTCTAACTCCTCCAATTGGGAACCCATGCTCAGTCCAATGACTGACTGTGAGTATCCCCCTTGACGACTCTGGCAGAGCCTCTCAGGAGACAACTATATCAGGCTCCTGTCAGTAAGCACTTCTTGGCATCCACAATAGTGCCTGGGTTTGCATCTGTATATGGAATGGATCCTCAGGTGGGGCAGTTTCTGGATGGCCTTTCCTTCAGTCTTTGCTCCTCACTTTGTCTCCGTATTTCCTCCGCACTTTGGTCTTTCTTCTTTCTCCACACTGTCTTCTTCCTCCACTCTTTGTCTCTGTATTTCCATCCACACTTTGGTCTTTCTTCTTCTTGAGCTTCATATGGTCTGTGAGTTGTATCTTGTTTATTCTGAGGTTTTGGACTAATATCCACTAATATCAGTGAGTGCATACCATGTGTATTCTTTTGTGATTGGGTGACCTCAGTCAGGATGGTACTTTCTAGTTCCATCCATTTGCCTAAGAATTTCATGAACTCACTGTTTTTAATAGCTGACTAGTACTCCATTGTGTAAATGTACTACATTTTCTGTATCCATTCCTCTGTTGAAGGACATCTGGGTTCATTCTAGCTTCTGGTTATGATAAATAAGGCTGCTATGAATATAGTGGAGCATGTGTCCTTGTTATATGTTGGAGCATCTTCTGGGTATATGCCCAGGAGGGATATAGCTGAGTCCTTAGGTAGTACTATGTCCATTTTTCCTAGGAACTGCCAGACTGATTTCCACAGTGGTTGTCCAGCTCTCAATTCCACCAACAATGGAAGAGTGTTCCTCTTTCTCCACATCCTCTCCAGTATCTGCTTTCACCTGAGTTTTTAATCTTAGCCATTCTGACTGGTATGAGGTGTAATCTCAGTGTTGTTTTGATTTGCATTTCCTTGATGACTACTGATATTGAACATTTCTTTATGTACTTCTTGGCCATTCATTATTTCTCAGTTGAAAATTCTCTGTTTAACTCTGTACCCCATTTTTAGTAGGGTTATTTGATACCATGCTTTTAACAGCTGAATAATGGTTCATTATGTAAATGTACTACATTTTCTGTTTCCATTCTTTGGCTGAGGAATATCTATGTGCATTCCACTTTCTGGCTAGTACAAATAAGCTGCTATGAACCTGGTTATACAGATGTCTTTATGGTAGGATGAAGTATCTTTTGTGCACATGCACAGGATCTGGATCTTGAGGTTCCCATTTTCTCAACTAACCCAGCCTATTTATACCCATAGTAGCTATAGCAATTTGAACAACCCCAGGCAATGCAAGAGTGTTCCCCTTAATCCAATGTCACCAATGTGAGCTGACATTTGTGTTTTTGGTCTTAGCTATTTTACAGGTGTAAGATCAAATCTCAAAGTTGTTTTGATTTCATTTTGTTGATGGCTAAGAATGTCAAATATTTCTCCAAGTACTTATAGCCATTTAAGTTTCCTCTTTTGAGAATTCTCTGTTTATTACTCTAACCCCCATGTTTAAATTGGGTTTTTTGGCTTGTTAATGTCTAGTTTCTTGAGTTCTTTACATATTTTTAATATCAATTCCTGGCCAGATATACAGTTAGTGAAAATCTTTTCCCAACTATAAGCTACAGTTTTTTTCTATTGATAGTGTCTTTTGTCTTGGAAAAGTTTTTTAGTTTCGTGGAGTTCTATTTTTTTAATTGTTTATCATAGTGCCTTCATTATTAGTGTTCTGTTCAGGAAGTTGTCTGTGCCAATGAGTACAATGATATTACCAAATTTCTCTTCTATGAAGTTCAGTATGTCTGAATTTATGTTGAGGTCTTTGCTTTACTTGGACTTGAGTTATGTGCGGCATGAGTTATGGATCTATTTGCAGTCTACTATATGGCAAAATCCAGTTAGATCATCATCAATTGTTGAAGAAGCTATTTTTTTCAGTTGTATAATTTTGGCTTCTTTATCAAAAATCAGATATCCATAGGTATATGAAATTACATTTGGGCCTGCAAATCAATTTCATTAGTTAACCTGTCTATTCTTATGTCAATACCAGTTGTTTGTATTATTACAGTTCTATAGTACAGCTTGAAATCAGGGGTGGTGATACCTCTGGAATTTCTTTAATTGTACAGGATTGTCCTGGGTTTTTTGTTTTTCTTTATTACTGAAAAGACTTTCCTCATATTGTGTAAAGTTGTGCCTCTGTATTTTCAATTATTTATTCTGTTCCTGCAGAGAGCTAAACTCTGGAAGAATTTTGCTACTGTCATTTCTATGACCCATCACTGGATTTTCTATTTGTAAATGCTTGTCTTTCCAAATCTGCCCCAAAAAGGAAGGTCAAACATTCATCATTGACTAAAGGCAACCTAAAAGATGTATCAGGTGTTGTTTACTGCTGGTTGATTTTAATAAAAATATTGCAGCCAATGGCTTGGTCAGGAAATATGAGGGCAGCATTTCCTGGCAGAGAAAGGAATGCAGGGATTTGAAAGCAGAGATGGGATGATTATCCAAGAAGAAGGCATGGAAGAGAACAGACACATACTATAGCAGAGCAAGAACCTAAAGATCTAGACATGTGGCAGGGGCAGGCTGAGAAGACAGGTTAAGTTGAATGAGCTAGAAGAGAGACTGCCTCAACACAAGGCCTACAGCTTGAAACTATATAGAAATTCTCCATGCCTTAAGAAACTGCTGGCAGGATCTGAGAAACCCCACAGTACCATATAAAGTTGAGTATTATTCTTTAAAGGTCCATAAAAAAAGTGTTCAAAAGTTGATGGAGATTGCACTCAATCTATAGATTGTTTTTTATTAAGGTTATTTTTATTATATTAGTTCTGCCCATCCATAATCATGAGAGATCTTTACATCTTCTAATGTCTTATCAATATTTCTTTAAATACTTGAAGTTATTGTGATACAAGTTTCTCTCTTGGCTCGTGTCTCAGTTATGGTTTCCATTGCTATAAAGACATACCATGACCAAGGCAACATTTACAAAATACAACATTTACTTGGGGCTGGCTTACTGATTCTGAAGTTCAGTCCATTATCATCATGGAGGGAAGCATAGGATGGCACAGGAAGAGCTGAGCGTGCCACATCTTGTTGTGAAGGCAAACAGAAAAAGACTGGCTTCCAACCAGCTAGGAGGCATGTCTTAAAGCCCATGTCCACAGTAACACACTTCCTCCAACAAGGTCCCACCTACTCCAACAAGGCCACACCTCCTAATAGTGCCACTCCCTGGACCAAACATATTCAAACCACCACATTTGGTTAGAGTTACCCTAAGAAGTTTTATATTATTTATGGTTATTGTGAAGTATGTTATTTCCATGATTTCTTTCCTAGCCCAATTTGCATTTGAGTATGGGCTACTGATTTATTTTTAATTCATTTTGTATCTAGTCCTTTGCTGATGCTTTTTGTCAGCTGTAATATTTCTCTGGTAGAATTTTTGGACTCACTTAGATATACTATGAAATCATCTGCAAATAGTGGTACTTTGACTTCTTTCCAATTTTTATTGTCTTACTATAGACATACTTCTGTGACATCCCTTTTGTGCAACATTTTGTCTATGTGGTTATTTTATAAAGTTTTGTCTAAGAAGGTATCATTTCCAAGACAGTAGAAATTAAGTGTGGCTTTTGGGGCTGTTTCTCATCTATAAAATGTATATATGTATATGTCTGATTGTATATATATATATATATATATATATATATATATATATATATTATATATATGTAAATAAGTATATGTGCATGTCTATAAGTATACATGAACACTTGTGGAATTATTGAAACTGGTGGCTGGACCCTGCCAAAGTTTAAGGGTCTAAGTGGAAATCTCCATGTCTGCCTAACCCTTGCATTTTCATGCCTGCATATTGACTTAGGATTGCATGAAACAGACATGTGCCAAATCCCTATAATTCTATTTGATAAAATCTAGAGAACGTTTACTTCAGTGGTTCCCAGTCATGTTTAGAGTAAACAATTTCTATGGAAGGAAATTTTAGCTTGGGAGAATTCAAAACCATATGCACCCAATTATCTAGTTGCAAATGTGTTTCAACATCATTATGAGACTTGATAACGGAACTACATTCATATTAATAAGCCAGTGACACAAATCTCAAAAGTACAGAAGTTAAAAATTCACATATACATACACATACATATCCGATTGTGAATAATTCAAAACATTTATTGATTCTATGTTCTGTACATTAGGATCTAAAGAAGACTAATACATAAATCAAGGCAAGTAAATGGATGACAAACATATAATGGATCCCACAGGTTTTTAATGTGCTCATTGTAGGATATAGTTTTGTGGTGTTTGTGGCGTTGGTGTTTAGTGATATTATTTTATTTTGGATTTTTTTATTTTTTTATTGTTTTTTTGGTTTTGGAGGTTTTGTTGCTTGCATTGGGATTCTGTTTATGTTTTAAGAAGGAACTTAAAATTGGGCGGGGAAGGAAGGAAAATGACCTACAAAACCTTGGAGGATGAA